GCTTATTATATTTTATTATTTAATAATATTCTCTTGGTTGCCTTTACATTCGTATCTTTCTTAGTCTTCATCCTTCATTTCTTTAGCCCCCACTAAGGAGTTATGTGTATTTTATACATTAGTATGTTTTCAGTGTCCCTCCTCTCTTTACCATACAGTTGGTGATTGCGATTATTATTCTAGTTTTAAATAGGACCAGCCTCATCCTTCTTACCTTCCCCTTCATATATATGAAATTATTTGCATTTTTGTCTTTGATTGTGCAGTAATCCATCTATCAAAGTCCTATCCATGGTTTACCCTTGAGCTTCATTTTTATTAAAATGTATCATTATCACTTTCAGCCGAGTCTCTCTAATCTCTCTACTCCCATACCATATTATAGCTTCCAGAGCAACAGAATCCTAAATACACACTCTCTTATATTTCTGCTTCATGTTTAAGACATACATTGGAGCTCATTGAGAGAAAGGCCAGTATTTTATCCTTTGGATCTGCAGTCTTAAGCACAAGCAAAATGATTATTAAATAATTAGTGATTGTTACAGAGCTTCAAGTGTGGATTTACGTTCAGCTTTATTGAGGATTAATTTACATAAAAGTCACCCCCTCCTTTAAGCATATTATTTGATAAATTTGGTAACTGTGTATAGTCAAAAAACGTACACCGAAACAAACATGCAGAACAGATTCATCAATGGTTCTTTGTGCCCTTTTGCAGTTGAACCATGCCCCTCCCCCATCCCTGGTGATCAGTAATTGGCTTTATGTTCAATAGCTTGCTATTTCTAGAATTTCAATATAAATGTCATGTACTGCTTAATCGTTAACATTTAATTTCTTTAACTTTTTTGAAATTACTTCATGTTGTATAGATTAATATTTCATTCCTTTTTATTGCTATTATTATAAGTATGGACATAATTTGTCTATCCACCAGTTGATAGACATTTAGATTATTTCCATTTTGGGCTATTATGAATAATGCCATTATGAACATTCATATACTAAGTCTTTGTGCAAGCATACGTATTAATTTTTCTTAAATAAATGACTAGGAGTGGGATTGGTACATAGAATAGTAAGTGTATATTTAACTTTATAAAATACTCTCAGATTGTGTTCCGAAGTAGTTGAACCATTTTTCATCCCCACCTACTACTCCCATCATTCAGAGTTCTAGTTGCTTCACAGTCTCACACTTCGGTTTGGCAGTTGTTTTAGCTTTAGCCATATTAGTGAGTGTGTAATGGATCTCACTGAGTTTTGTTTTTTTTTTTTTAAGATTTTATTTATTTATTGGAGAGAGAGACAGAGGGAGAATGAACAGGGGGTAGGGGCAGAGTGAGAAGCAGACTCCCCGCTGAGCAGGGAGACTGAGATGGGACTTGATCCCAGAACCCTGAGGTCATGACCTGAGCAAAAGGCAGACACTTAACCGACTAAACCTCGCAGGCACCCCTTACTGAGATTTTAATACGCATTTCTGATCACTAGTTAAAATGAACATCTAATGTACTTATTGGTCATCCATATATCTGATGTTGTGAAATGTCTGTTCTAGTCTTTTGCCCATTTTAAAAACTAGATTGTTTATCTTTTTGAGTTTTTTGTTAACTGTGTTTTTGAAGGGCATTAGTTTGTTTGTTTTTAAGATTTTATTTATTTGACAGAGAGAGACACAGTGAGAGAGGGAACACAAGCAGGGGGAGTGGAAGAGGGAGAAGCAGGCTTCCCACTGAGCAGGGAGCCAGATGTGGGGCTTGATCCCAGGACCCTGGGATCATGACCTAAGCCGAAGGCAGACACTTAATGACTGAGCCACCCAGGCACCCCTGAAGGGCATTAGTTTTTAATTTTGATGAAGTCTACCATTTTTTCTTTTTATATGAATAGTTTGTTTGTTTGTTTGTTTGTTTTTAAATTTATTATTATTTTTTAAAGATTTTATTTATTTATTTGACAGAGAGAAATCACAAGTAGGCAGAGAGGCAGGCAGAGAGAGAGGAGGAAGCAGGCTCCCTGTTGAGCAGAAAGCCCGATGTGGGGCTTGAACCCAGGACCTGGGATCATAACCTGAGCCGAAGGCAGCGGCTTAACCCACTGAGCCACCCAGGCGCCCCTATATGAATAGTTTTAACACTTATTTGAGGTCTTTGTTTCAGTTTGAGTGAGTTTTTGCATATGACATAGAGTAAAGGTTGAGGGCTTTTGTTTTCTAATTATGTAAATTATAGCATTGATATGAGGGATAGTGTACTACCAGAGTCAGTTCTTGCAATGGTTTATAAGAAATTCAGGAGAGGCACCTGGCTGGCTCAGTCCATAGAGCATGGGACTTTGATCTCAGGTTTGTAAGTTTGAGCCCCACTTTGGGTGCATCAGGGTCCCTGCTCAGCAGGAAGCCTGCTTCTCCCTCTCCCATTCCTCCTGCTCGCGTTCCCCTCTCGCTGTCTGTCTGTCTCCCTCTCTCTCCCTCTCTCTCTATCTCTCTCTCTCTCTGTCAAATAAATAAATAAATAAATAAATTTTTAAAAGATTGCTTAAAGATAAAATCTTAAAAATAAAATCTTTCAAAAAAAGAAAAAAGCTAAAATTTTGAGAGGGACAAGACAGATCAGGATCACATGGAAGATTTCCACTTAGTGGACAGGAAGCAATTATAAAATAAAGAATTCCGAGGGAGGACAAGAAAAGAGCTCTTCACAAAAGAAGAGCTTTGGTGCCACTTATTTCAGGCATAATGAAAGGAAAGGAAAGCAAAACTGAAATTGATGGCAGTAACAGTTTCTGTATCTAGAAGTGATAGTATCAATCATCAAAATACTGCAGTAAAGCAGATTTCAAAGCAAAAATGACTGTTTTCTGGCCCATTTTCCTTTTTTTCACTAAATCTATGTGTACTTTGTTTAGCCATGTGAAACTCAATTGCAACCAGATAAAAAGAGCAAAATCTATAGTTACTGTACAATTATAGGTCAGTTCAAGTTGAAAGGCTCAAGTCAAGGACATCTCTGTAGTTATAACGAATTGGGGCCTTTAAAAGTGAAATAGTGGGTACCTGGCTGGCTCAGTCAGAGCAGTGTACAACTCTTGATTTCAGGATTATGAGTTCAAGTCCCACGTGGGGTGTAGATATTAAATAAATGACTTTTTTTTTTAAATGTGAAATAGGATTATAGTTTTATTTGCTCCATCCTTCCTGCCCCACATAGGCAACTACTTTCAACTCATTTAACTGAGTCTACTGGTGTTTATTCCCACATTTTATACAGCTATTTTGCCTGCTTTTGATTTAACCATTTTAAAACAATATCAGCTTGGGAGCAACTGGCTGGCTTAGTTGGTAGGACATGTCACTCATGATCTCAGGGTTTTAAGTTTGAGCCTGACAATGGGTGGAGATTACATAAAAATAAAATACTTTAGGGGCACCTGGGTGGTACAGTTGGTTAAGTGTCCAACTCTTGGTTTCAGCTCAGGTAGGGATCGCAGGGTTCTGAGATCAAGCCCCCTGTCGGGCTCTGCATTCAGCGTGGAGTCTGCTTAAGTTTCTTTTCTCCCTATGCCCCTCCCCATCCTCTCTTTCTTTCTAAAACAAATAAAATAAAATCTTCTAAAATATGTCATTTATATATATAGTCAGATTGTTAACATGCAGGGATCCAGAAAATTTCCTGCATTAATTTTCCTTTGTATTTTCTCTGGAACTCCTTTAAGGAAATGTTGAACCTCCTAGATGCCTTTACTAACCCACACATTTCCAATCATTATTTCTTTGTCCCTTTGTTCTTTCCATTCTTCCTTTTTTGATTCTGGGAGATTTCCTGGAAATTTTTTCCGCCAAAGCTATTGAATATTTTAGGTCAACATCATATTGCTTATTTCCAAACAGCACTTCTTTATAAAACCCTGTTAATATTTCAGTGCTATACAACCTCTTAGCTTTCTGTAATACTAATTATAATATTGTATGTGTGTTCTTTTGTTCCTTTTCTTGTTTTCTTGTGATCTCTCTCTCTGTCAAATAAATAAATAAAATCTTTTAAAAATAAATAAATAAATAAATAAAATAAATAAATAAATAAAAGCGGTTTAAGGGGCACCTGAGTAACTCAGTTAAGTGTCCAACTGTTGATCTCAGCTCAGGTCTTAATCTCAGGGTTGTGAGTTCAAGCCCCACATTGGGCTTCATGCTGTTAAAAAAAAAAATATATATATATATATATATATATAAAATAAAAGCAGTTTAAGCTACATGTATCTATGAATGTTATTTGTATCTATGCTTTCTTTTATAATGGTAGACTAGGTTTGAAATAAAAAGTCTATTTTATAATACCACATTTCTGAAATTATATTAATAATACTGGGGAAAAAATCACAAGTAGAGTGATATTGATGATTATAACAGCTATTTTATTGAATTTTTACTACATGCTAGGCATGGTATGTTATTAGCTCTTTTCAATGATTCTTTTGTTGTTTGTTCTGTTTTGTATTCCCTTTTAGAAAAGGTCTGGGAAATTTATAAGTCAATAGACACAACATGGAAGACATGTGAGTTACATTTCCTCCTTCTCCATGAAAATACAGCTAAGAAGAAATTCAGAAAACCTGGGTAACAGAAAAGTATTTCCTCTAAACACAGACACTAATATTTTAAGATTGTATCTCTGTGTATGGGGTTCAGTTTAAGGGAATTTAGAACATAGTTTATACTTAAATGTAAGAGAAGCGATCTAAGAAAGATCGATTAAGAATACAATGATGTCATATATTTCATTCCTTAGGTAATTGTCTAATCTCAGTATAAACAATGTAAAGTCTTTCATCATAAATTCAACTTCATTAGCCACCTGAGGATTAATATTGGAGAGAAAACACATGAATTTGATGAATGTGGAAAAGCTTTTATCTATGTCAAATGTCAAGAAATACTGAGAAATTCTTGTTGGAAAAAATATCTGTGCATGATAAGAATGTTGGAAAGCCTTCAGCCTGAAGCAGATCTCCTTCAGCATGATCAGATTCATAGTAGAGAGAAACCTCATGAATGCAATGAATGTGGAAAAACCTTTAGCCTGAAGCAAAACCTCATAGAGCATAAGAAAATGCATACTGGAGAAAAATCACATGAATGTACTGAATGTGGTAAAGTATTCTCTCGAGTCTCATCCCTTACTCTACATTTGAGAAGTCATACAGGAAAGAAACCATATAAATGTAATAAATGTGGAAAAGCCTTCAGCCGGAAAAGAAACTTCCTTTCTCACCAGAAACATCATACCGGAGAGAAACTTTATGAATGTGGGAAAGCTTCTATTCAGATGCCAGGTCTCATTAAACATCAGAGAAATAATACTGGAAACAAACCCTATGCATGTAAGGAATGTGGAAAAGCCTTCAGTGGCAAATCATATCTCACTGAGCATGAGAAAATTCATACGGGAGAGAAACCATTTGAATGTAATCAATGTGGAAGAGCCTTCAGCCAGAAGCAATACCTCATTAAACATCAGAATATCCACAGTGGAAAGAAACCCTTTAAATGTAACGAATGTGGAAAAGCCTTTAGCCAGAAGGAAAACCTCATCATCCATCAAAGAATACATACTGGAGAGAAACCATATGAATGCAAAGGGTGTGGGAAAGCTTTCATTCAAAAGTCTAGCCTCATTAGACACCAGAGAAGTCATACAGGAGAGAAACCCTATATATGTAAAGAATGTGGGAAAGCCTTTAGTGGCAAATCAAATCTCACTGAGCATGAGAAAATTCATATTGGAGAGAAACCCTATAAATGTAATGAATGTGGAACAATCTTTAGGCAGAAGCAATACCTCATTAAACATCACAATATTCATACAGGAGAGAAACCTTATGAATGTAATAAATGTGGAAAAGCCTTCTCTCGAATCACATCACTCATTGTACATGTGAGAATTCATACGGGTGATAAACCTTATGAATGTAAAATATGTGGGAAAGCCTTCTGTCAAAGCTCATCTCTTACTGTTCATATGAGAAGCCATACAGGTGAGAAGCCCTATGGTTGCAATGAATGTGGGAAAGCCTTCTCTCAGTTCTCAACTCTTGCTCTGCATATGAGAATCCATACTGGAGAAAAACCTTATCAGTGTAGTGAATGTGGGAAAGCTTTTAGCCAGAAGTCACATCATATTAGACACCAGAGAATTCATACTCACTAAAAGCTCTATGAATGCCTTGAATTTAGGAAAACTTTCATCAGAACTCACATTTTAATGGTATACTGAAAATTCATTTTACAGTAGAGCAACATGAATGTGGAAAATACTTCAACAACTCAAAATTTAAATACTAACAATTTTAATAAGTATCGTAGTATCATGAAAACCTCTATTCCCAGAACTCCCACAACAGACACTGTTAATGATGTACTTTTAGGAGCAATCTCATTAAGTAAGGATCCAGTCATGAGCACTAAGCAACATGGTTCTGGAAGGCCTCTGATGCATTAAGAGGTATAAAGATTTGACACTGAGAGACAAAATTGTCATTTTAAAAGTGTTTCACTACATATGTAATCAGAATTATTTGTTCTTGATTCATTTGTAGAAATCAGAGATTGGGACAGAATATTGTATTCAGAAACATGCATGCGTTTATAGGGAATTGTTTATTAATAGAGGTGGTTTCAAGGTTGGTAGGGAAATGAAATCATGGATGATTCAAAAAATGGTCTCAGGGTAACTGACTCTTCATGTGGAAAAATAATAGATCTCTGCTGTAGTAATACATTAAAGTATTTATTATGAAATCCAAAAGTATTGAAGACTAAAATGCGAAAAGCAAAACTTCGTAATATAAGAATTTTATAGGAGAATGTTTTAAAACCTTTGTGGAGTAGGAGGGAATTTCTAAAGTAGATTCCAGGATACTCTCAAGTATACATGCATATCCGCAAGAAACCAATACATGTGTCTAGGGAGTCGTGTATATTTATGTTGAAGCATGAATTACATTAGCAAAAAAACTGGAAACAAATATCTGTTGCTTGTGAAATGGATAAATAAAATGTGTTATAGGCACATAGTAGAATATTCTCTAGTAGTTAAGTATAACAGGTGATATATATTTAAATATATTAACAGAGAAAGACCTGAAAAGTCATGTAGAGTAAAAACAACAAAGGGATAAATATAATCATAACTGTGAATTTGAATTAAGTCAACACTAGCAAACACTAGTATTAATAAGCAATGATTGTGGATAAACATTTTTATGTAAAACTGAAGAATAGATTGGAAAGATACACACGCAAATTCCCAAAGGTGGTTGCCTCTAGAAAGAATGGTAGCGGAAAAGAAACGGGACCAACCATGGTAGTTAGATACTTCAGTTTTGTATCTAAACGCCTATCATAGGGGCGCCTGGGTGGCTCAGTTGGTTAAATACCCATCATTAAAAAGATTCTAAGTAAATATAACAAAATGTTAGTTACCTCTGGGTTGTGGTAATATGTGTGTTCATATCTTTGTGATATTTCTGAAAATTAAAAAACATAGAGGTAGGAAAGCTGTACATGGAGTATATGTAATAATAGACTCCCAATCCCAGATAGACATTAATATTTTATAGGAAATATTTCTAGAATCATATCTTTACTGTAAGTCATTTCTTAAAATTGGGATGGTAGCTTAATTTAAATTTACTCTTGCATGTGACATCACTAATCTGTGTGATCTCTACTTAAAATTATAGCATGAATGTGCTACATGTTGGTTGGGTTACACACATTTAAGGATCACACCATTTAATAATACACGCACAGACTTGATATTAAGAATTGGTTTCTACTGAAAATATTTATCAGAAACTTTAAAAGTACACATAACCAGTATTGGCATTAAGGATTTGGTGTTTTAAAATGAGGAAACCAAGTTACCCTTAAATTTTTAAATATGCCACTAAGTAAAATGTCAACTCTTGCATTTCACCTTCAATTTTAACCTCACTTTTTTTTCTATTCTGCTAGATATACTCAACCAATCCCCCATTTGTTTCCTTGCAGAAAATGGTGCTAAAAAAGGAGATCTGAGACCTAAACAATATTCTTATATTTGAAGCAAATCTTTTTGAGGGTTTTTGTTTACTTGGTCCCTTTCCACAACAACTTGACATATAAAAAGTTGTTAGTGCTCTTTTCAAATAGTGATAAAAATGTGTAGCCAACATTCAAATCTTAGGCATATTTCAAATATATCAGTTTCTTTTAAATTCAAAATAATGAAATGCTAATAGAACCATACCACTACATTGCTTGTTAGTGGTTTTGATGGTTGGTCTTGAGATAAGATTATAAATGCCAGGGAACTGATTTGTCTGGGGTAACATACCCAAATAACATGTATATCTACATGAATCTAAATTACCCTCTATTTTCTTCCATTCTTCAGTAAGCATTTCTCTCATATTTCTTAAGTGTTTTTGATTGCCTTTGAGCTTGTGCAGCTTTGAAGTCACCAGAGCAACTAAGAACTCTCAGTTCAGACCAAACTAGGATTACCTTTTGGTGCCTGTAGTTAGCTAGTGCCAGGGTGGCAACAATGATTAGGATCGTCACATAGAGTAAGATGAGTAATATCTGTGATACTGTATACTTTAAATTTACTCTGACATTCCCCTATTGATTCAACTTTTTGATAGTTACTTGTCACCACAAACAAAACTATGGTAAATACTCTCAAAATCAGACTTAAATTTCAGATGTTTTTATTTCTGGGGAATAGTTACAGGCAAGAGATTGTTAGATCAAAGGACATAGGCTATTTTTTTTATTTTTATAGATGCTATCATTTTCAAAAACACAACTTTCCTTTAACCCTGTAACAGATGGTAACATACTACTTAAATTCATGTTTGATGAATGTAACCACTTGCTCCTAGATTTGCTTCTTTGTAAATTTTCATATTGTTAGCTCTTTAATAGACATTAGGAATTGTCTAATTTTTGTTAAAAAATGATTTTTCCATAAAAATACTCTAAATTTATCTGTAACCAGATATGTATTAATTTTTTCTAAGCTTATGTTGGTTAAGAAGATACTTTAACCTCTAGATTGTCTATTTCTTAGGTTTTCTTGCAAGTTGTTTATTGTTTGCTTTTTTCAATATGTAAATATTAATCCATTTAGAACTTAATTTTTAACGTCATATGAAATGAGGATTCCTTGTTATTTTCTTCTGGATGGGTTTCCAGTTATACAAGCACCATTTGTTAAAATAACCCATCTACTTAGCAGCCAGTCACACAGTTCTGACACCAACTTGTGGTGTCCACCAGCAGCAATCACGGATTTGAACCAGCAATCAAAAAAAGAGAACAGGCTTTAACCCAGTTTATTATTAGCCTTGCCCTGACCAAAACAAACAAACAAACAAAAACAAACAAACAAACAAAAAACATAACTGCCTTCACAATACTGCAACTGCGCAAGCAAGCACAAGCTTCCAGGCCCTCCGAGTGGCTCGGGAGAAAAGGTCAGCATGGGTGCGGTTCACCTAAGCGCTGGGAAACATTAACATTCTCATCCAGGACATCTTATGATAACCCACTACTGCATCCACGTGGTGTGCCCCCATGCAGCACACCCAGTTGTAAGACCGATACCCACTTGAGCACAGTGAAACTGATGCCTTGGTTTCCCAAGACGTATGATGCCTTAGTCACAAGGCTTTCGATGTCTACCTGCCAATTCACAGTTCTCCCCACCCCCAACCAGGTACAGGATACAAATGAGGAATCTACAGTAGCTATTTTCATCAAGGAAACTGGTAGAAAGTCAAATCTAAGGCCATCTTTCCAGATATGGGTCAGTGGGAGAGGCCTGTTCCTAATTCCTCACCAACACCATCCTTTTCTATTCAGCTGAAACTCAGCTATGTAATCCTTTAACCACATGATTTTTTCCTCATTCAACTGAAACTGCCTTGTACTTTCATTTATACCGAGACCTATTTCTGTATTCTCTTGTTTCACTAATCTATTTTTCTACTTCTATACTAATACCATATTAATTGATAAGTTGGTTTAACATTAGCCTTACTGTATTTTGATACCGTGTAACAGACCAAGTCCTCCTTGCCGTTTTTCATTGTTTTATTGGCTATTCTAAGTTTCTTCCTGTATAACTGAAGACTGTTCTCAAAATACAAAAACTCTTTGATACTCTAGTTGGAACTGCATTAAATTTATATATTTATTTTGGGAGAAATGACATTTGGATTTTAAGTCTTTCTGACCCAAATCGTAGTGTGCCTTTGCATTTGTTCAAACTGTAATCATGTCTTTCAGCATGAGGGTCCTGAACAAAGGAATTTGAATGCCATCCTTCCTTAATATTATATTTTAAAAACTTTGTTAGTTGCGTGAATGAGGTAAGTCCCTATTATGGACTAAATGTTTGTAGCCCCCTCAGAATTCATACTTTGAAGCCCTGATCCCTAGTGTGATGGTATCTGGAGATGGGGCTATAAGGAAGTAATTAGATTTAGATTAGGTCATGAGGGTGGGACACTCATGATGGGAACAGTACCCATATATAGAAGTGGAAGATAGAGATTATAAGAAGAGATTTCTTTCTCCATGCATACACTGAGGAAAGGTCACGTGAGTGCAGCACAGTGAGAAAACAGCTGTCCACACTAGGAATTGGACCTTCACCAGGATTTGCCGGCACTTTGATCTTGGGATTTCCCAGTCTCTAGAACTGTAAGAAATAAATGTCTGTTGTTTAAACCACACAGTCTATGGTATTTTGTTATAATGCCTAAACTAAGACAATCCCTTTCCTGCTTAATTCTCCTGTGCTCCTAGTATATGGTAAGACAAAAGCACTTTTTCATTAAGAGAGTAAAATCCCAACTACATTATTAATAAGGTCTAATTTCCAGCAATTTGTAAAACTTCCCCTACCTTAGTCATTTAAAAATAAAAATTGTTGAAACAGGAAAAGTGAAAAATATAGTTCCGGGGGTAACATCTTGAAAATGTTGAACTAGGAATCATCAAGCTATCATTCCCTTACAGAAACTAAAAAAAAAAAAAAAAAAAAAGCCAAAAACTTCCTCTGTAGTACCTCTGGAAATCAGTCAGTGGTTTTACAAACAAGAAGATGCCCAAGCAAGTCAAAAGCCGTCGTCAAATGTTAGTATCTTTTGTTGTCATTTTTATTTTTGTCC